AGATGCTTAACTGACTGAGCCATCCAGCTGCCTCCAAGACCCTGTCTTTGAGGATGGCTCTTCTGCCTTCCTGTGTGATGACAATGACTTTGACCTTTTTTATTTAAAGGGAAATCTCTCCCCAGCTGACATGTTCCCTCACTGGAAATGGTAGTCTAGGAGACAGGATTTTAATAAATCCCCTAGGTGTGATTCCTGACCTTCCACCTCTGCTTTCTCCTCCCAGTAAATGAGCTCTGCTGGCCCAGAGGGAACCCTCCACCTGTAAAGGAAACATGGAGGGCCATTTTCACATCTCTGACTGTGCACTTAGTGACCATGCCTTGGGTTAGTACTACCAATCTGCTCCAAGTCCCAGGGTATAGTGAAGATCCCACATGGTCTCAGAAAAGCTGTGGAAGCAAGGCTATCTTAATCTTTCCCCAAGAAGTAGTCCTTTCACTGAACATAAATAAGTATCTCAGTAAATTAACTAGAACAAATGCATACAGAGTTTTCTGCTTTGTTTTCCCTCCATAGATCTGTTTTCTTTTTAAATTTTCTCATTCAATATTTATTGAACTCCTATGTGCTAGATGCAAGATGCTAAATTATATAGCAATGAAAAAAATAGACAACTATCCCTCTGTCATGGATCTTACATTGGAACACTTGTAACATGGAAGGGGCAGCACTATGTTCTCGCTGGAAGAGATACTAACCCTGGATATAGATTTGCCTTTCCTAAATGCAGTGCTTCTGTCAAGACTACCATCTGTGGACTTACAAAATGACCTTATACACTGTCATGCTATTTCACATAGCATTGCTCCTGATCAATAAATGAAGTATACTTCATAGTAAATGAACTATAGCAATAGGCCCATCCTCATGGAATTCACTGATCTTAACATGTTCTCCACCATCACTGAAGTAGCTGGTTAGATCGTATGGTAGAAAAACCTTTTAAAGATGCAGTTACAGTACCAGCTAGCTGGCAATACTTTGTAGGCCTGGAGTAATGTCCTCCAGGATGCTGTCTATGCTCTGAATCAGCATCCAATATATAATGCTGTTTCTCCTAATACCAATATTCATATGTCCAGGAATCAAGGGGTTAAAATGGGAGTGGCTCCATTCCTTATTACCCCTAGTGAGTCTTAGTAAAATTTTTGCTTCCTGTCCCTGTGACTTTTCTGGTCTAGAGGTCTTAGTTCCAAAAGAAGGGATGTTTCCACTAGGAGATACACTAATTTCATTGAACTGTCATTTGAGACTGCCACCTGACCACTTTGGTCTCTCGTGTCTCTAAATCAATAGGTGATTGATTCTGATCCAAGGGGAAATTGGTTGCTACTATGTAATGGAGGTAAGGAAGAATATGTCTGGGATACAAGAGATCTCTTGAGTATCTCTTAGAACTACCATGACTGTGATTATAGTTAATGGAAAATTATAACAATCTAATTCAGGCAGTACTTCTAATGGCTCAGACCTTTCAGAAATGAAGTCTTGGGTTACCCTACCTGGCAAAGAACTATGAACCACTGAGGTGCTTTTTTTTTTTTTTTAACTATGTTATGTTAATCACCATACATTACATCATTAGTTTTTGATGTAGTGTTCCATGATTCATTGTTTGCATATAACACCCAGTGCTCCATTCAATACGTGCCCTCTTATCACCAGGCTAAACCATCCCCCCCCCCTCCCCTCTAGAACCCTCAGTTTGTTTCTCAGAGTCCACAGTCTCTCACGGTTCACTGAGGTGCTTTTTGAGAACAAAAAGAATATGGCATGGGTGGTTGAAGAAGTCAATCACAAATACTACTTAAGACCCTGTGAGCAGTTGCAGAAATGAAATGAGATTTGTAATAGTTTAATAGTTATTAGTATTTCTTCTATTATGAATTATTCACACATAATATTTGGTATATAAATATACATATATCTATATATATCACAAATATGTTTTCATTTTCTTATCTTCTTTATCCCTGTACCACCTAACATAAGATATATTAATAAATTAACTTTATATCACAATATTTAAGTTATAAGATATCAAAGGAGAAGAGCAAACATTCTCCAAGGACTTTGCATCTTCTGGAGCAAGGGTTAGCATATTTTCAGTTTTACACAGGATAGTTGTATTGTGGTAGATGGAAGTGTGACTTTGTATTTGTCTTGATTTGGAAATTGTGTGGTTTAAAGAGATGTGTATGAGTGCCAGGTTGACAAGAGATGGACTGTGGTGGTCAGTTTTTGTGTCAACTTGGCTAGGCTTTAAGTCCCCAGTTTTTCCATCAAACATTAATCTAGGTGTTGCTGTGAAGGCATTTTGTAGATGTGATTAAAGTCTATAATCAGTTGACTTTAAGTATGGAAGATTATTCTAGATAATCTAGAGGAGCCTGATTCAATCAGTTGAAAGGCTATAAGAGCAGAACTGAGACTTCCCTGAGGAAAAAGAAATTTCACCTGTGGGGAAGCAGCTTCAGCTCATGCCTGAGACTTCCAGGCTGCCCTTTCTGACAGCCTGACCTATACATTTCAGATTTGCTTTGCCAGCCCCCACAACTGGATAAGCCAGCTCCACATAATAAATCTCTTAATTTATATCTCCTACTGGTTCTGTTTGGTTGAAGTCTATCTTGTACATCCAATACAAACTTTTCTGCAATAAAGGGAAAATTTTACCAATTTAGTCATCTGGAAAACTTCCTGCTACTCTCAGTTTTGACAATTTATCTATTACTTTCTTGCTGGTTCACTGTCTGATGGTTGTCCAGGAAAATCATAGCTTTTTCCTATCCATCTCTTTCTCTGCAGATTTTTACTCAGCTACAGGTCATTCTGTCTTCCCTTTTTGAATGCTACTCTTCCAGTTTTGAATAAAGTAATATAACTGGAGTACAACATTAAATATGTAGCATAATTATAAAATCTAATTACATACAGCTTTTGATCTTTAATTTTTAAAATCTGAGTTGTGGATGAAGTTAATTTTACTATTTTTCTACTTTCTGAATGTTTTAAACATTTAAAAGTAAAGTATTTTAAATATTAAAGTAAGAGAAAAAAAAAGAGAAATATGAAAAGCAAACACATCATAAATGGAGAAAACAATGCAGAAAACAATGCACTGTATGGAAATAGTAAGTTAACTTTCTTGGAAATCAAATTCATCAAATAAAGTAGAAGAGAAGTAAGTTCACAGAGGATTTGTATAACAAATGATCTAATGGCTATATAGAAAACTTGAAAATCAGACAGTCTAGACTAGAAAAGGAAGGTCAGGTTAGAAATATAGATGATACTTGAGGTTATAACAATAAATGACCACAGGGCTGCTTAACCAGAATTGAAGTGAATTTTAAGAATAAAAAATAATCTTGTGAGATTTCAAAATAGCATTAATTGTCTATTAGGAATTAACAAATGATTTTTGAGCAGAAATATATATAGCATAACACTGCTCTCTTTTGATAAAAAGACTAGAAAATTCTAACATTGGGTTAAGAAATTCTATGATTCAAAATAGAGCATCTTGTATTATTTTTAGTACCTGTGTGAAGGCCATGGCCCATAACCCTTCTTTTTGACTAAAGAAAAATGGTATATATCATTATGAATATACAGTTGTTAGGCTAAAGAAATGATGGCCAGGAGACTGTAACAGGTTTAGATAAATTGGAAACTACCACAGTCTATAAAATATAATAATCTATATAAAATAAATTAAAACAATCTCATGTGACCGTATACAAAAACTTAATACAAAATGGGAAGACCATGTAGTTACAATGTAAATAAAGTCAAAACAAAGCAAATAGGGTATTTAAATCAATAACCCAATTAAAACTTATGAAATGTGGTTTCCAAAGGGTTGGGGTAAAATAGTATGCCTGCAATCCTTAAACTCTTGGCAGACTATATTTCATTAATTCACTCATCCAGTATTGTTGCTGAGCCAGACAGAATCTATCTCTTCTATCATTTTATAATGGCTGAATGAAAGCATATACTAAGATATTGCATCCACCCTTCTAAAATCAAAAGGAAAACAAATGAGAAGAGGGAAAATCCTGCACATCCAGGCCAAGTACCATCTAAGCAAAAGCACTTTTATGACCTCTTGTCAATGTCAATGCTTTCTTTACTTGAAAAGGAATGGGCTTTAATGAATTGCTACTAGTTTTTCTGAAGGTCTAGCTGCTGACTCTATTACATCTAAAACAATTATATATGTAGAAATTCCAACGAGGGAAGAAAATTTAAGCATGAAATTATATATTATACATACAATTTGTTGGAACTTCTACATTATGTATACATTTTTGTATTATAAAATTATATATTTTATATATAAATATTGTATATAATAATATATAACTACACACACAAACACACACACACATATATATATACACACATATGTATATTAATCTTGTTTTCTCTCTGCCATGTTGTCTATCTTATGGTGTTTCTATTACATCCTAAAAGGAGTTATCTTTTATATTTCCTTAAATTCAAAAAAGTAATTACAGTGAGATATCATCAATTATTATAAAAGGAATCAGGCCCCTAGCCTTCTAGGAAGCAATAAACAGATCCTAACCATAAAATTGATGATTGCAGAACCTCTTTTTGTGTACTCCTCCTAAGACAGAGAGGGCTTTTAAAACAAAACAAAATCAAAATGGAGAAATCTCACCAATAGAACTCTAAAAACTAGTTGGATAATGACTGATTATTTCTTAGCATCTTCATAAAAATAAAATTATTTTATAACTCCAATACCAATGCATGTCTCATAAAATTCTGGTTATTTCACTCACTGCATTATAAAAGGAAGCATTTAATTAAATCCTGAATGTAAAGGAGATTTTCTTTGATATCTGGCCTCTTATCCTTTAATTGTGTACTAAGTCAGTATGTTTAAAAATGCAGACTTTCACCTAATGTAAGTGTGTTTTGAGGTTAAGTCAAATGAAAAGAGAAGGAATGTCTAAATCTCTTTAGCAAAGAGAATCTTTCAAGAAAAGGGCTTGGCCACTTGACATGCTTTTTCTGATGGCATCTTTGACCTCCTTGTTCCTCAGGCAGTAGATAATAGGGTTGAGCATTGGAGTAAAGACTGCATATATGGCTGAGATCAATTTGTTAGAATTGAATGAAGCAATGGCCCGAGGTCGGACATACATGAAGATCACAGCTGTATAGAAGATGACCACCACTGTAAGGTGAGAGGCACAGGTAGAGAAGGCTTTCCACTGCCCAGTGGCTGAGGGAATGTGCAGAATGGTAGAGACAATGAAGCCATAGGAAAGGACAGTGGCTGAGAGAGGAAACACAAGGATGAGAATGGCTAGCACAAAGTCTACCATCACAGCCATAGAAAAGTCCATGCAGGCCAGTTTGAGGATGGGGGAAACATCACAGAAAAAATGGTTCAAGGTATTATTGCCACAGAAAGCAACTTGGGAGATGAAGTATACCTTTGCCATGGAGATGGTGAAGCCACTCACCCAGGAACTGATTGTCAGCTGCACACAAAATCCTGTGGTCATCATGGCTGGATAACAAAGAGGACAACATATAGCCACGTAATGGTCATAGGCCATGGCAGCCAAGAGCACACATTCAGTACAGGCAAGTGAGATGAAGAAATAGAGTTGGATCATGCATCCCAGGAATGAGATGGTATTGGGACTAAGTAGGAATCCAGCCAACATCTTGGGGACTATGACAGATACATACCAAGTCTCCAGAAAGGACATGGTGCCCAGAAAATAGTACATGGGCTGTGCAGGGACCCAGTGATCCATACAGTGAGAATGATGACCAAATTCTCCAACAGCACAAACAGGTAGGTGATGAGGAAGAGGAGGAAAAGCAGAACTTGTAGCCAAGGGGAAGTAGGGAAGCCCACCAGGATGAATTCACTAATATGGGTGATATTTTCCTTTGACATGGCCAGGACACCAAAAGACAAAGGATTTAATGAAAATAGCGCTAGTGAGATCCACATTAGCAGCAAGGTGCCCTCGGACTATAGGTACTTTATCATTAAACTTAACCCTAGTGCCACAATCTGGTCCTGGGGTGTGATTTGAGAGTCACAAGAGGCCACAAGATCCTCTCCAGACATTAGAACAGGACCTGAAAATAAATCCACCAAAGACACAAAGTTAAGAATCTCAAAGCAGAATCATGAAGTCAGATTCAGGATTTAGGCCTTCAGATCTCGGTCAGAAGGAGGTCTTCAGGTAGTACTAGGAGTAAATACTTTCCTTATCAGCGTGTTTCCAGATTTCACAAGCAGCTATAAGGCAGGAAACCATCATGATCAGAATAAGTGCCAAGGATGGTCTAGGGCAAGGCAAGGAAGCAGAGTAGTTCAAATTCTGGAGAAAATGAAAGCAGAATACTAACTGGAAAACACCCTCCTGATAGGAGAATTTCTGACTTTGGCCTACTCCTTGGCTATTATAGTATGTCTCTTGAAAATGCTGGCAAAACTATTTAACAATTAGTTGCCTATTTTTAGGCCCATGGCTTAAAAAATTGAATGAAGGGGCGCCTGGGTGGCTCAGATGGTTAAGCGTCTGCCTTCGGCTCAGGTCATGATCCCAGGGTCCTGGGATCGAGCCCCGCATCTGGCTCCCTGCTCAGTGGGGAGCCTGCTTCTCCCTCTCTGCTGCTCCCCCTGTGTGCTCTATCCCTCTCTCTCTCAGATAAATAATAAAATCTTAAAAAAAAAATTAAAAAAAAATTGAATGAAGAAATGTCTGCTCTATTAAGTAATTAAATACATTTTGATTTTTTAGATGGCTCCTCATAGTAATAATGATAGTTATATATATATATATATATATAATAGTTGTATATATACATATAAAATAGTTCACATTTGATCTCAAATTAATTTGTACATTTCTTCTATACCCTCTCCAAAGACTCGTTCAAAATTTTTATACTGCCAGAAATGTTACCTGATTAATTCTATCTTACTTCTTGACTCTGAAACTTCTCCTCAATATGGACACTGCTGAGCACAAGTTGCATTTAAGGAGCCGCCTTGAGAGTGGAGAGTAAGGAACTTCAACAACTCAGAAGAGTCCTGGGTTTCCTAGGGCACAATAGGATCTGAAGAGAGAATTGAAATTTAAAAATACTTTCTTCACAAGTGGGGATAGAAGAAAGAGAAAAGTAGAGATAAAAGTTAAAACACTGGGTGTTACATGTAACTAATGAATCATTGAACACTACATCAAAAACTAATGATGTTGGCTATTATGTTGGCTAATTGAATTTAAAATTTTAAAAAAGGGGAAAAAAGAACCCAATAAAAAAAATTTGCTTGACATTATAAATAAAATTAATCTGAAAAGAGAAACATATTTTTCAAGGACACCAATAGAGATGACCTGGAAAGGGAAAGGCAGAATTTAGGGACCTGAAAAGCACAAGATATGGAATTTTCTAGATGTTTAGTAGTGACTTCTGATTTGTTATATACTGTGTGGGCCAAAGCCCCTAGATCTCCAATAAAGTAGTTGGTTATATGTGTTGAAAAAGTACCACAGTAAAATAGAACTCAAATTTGACTTCTTTCTCCACTAAAAATAATTTTCCTTTAATTAATTTTAACAACTCTCTCGGGGAGGTCATTTTTGCCCATCCTGAGGCAGTATGGAAGACCTAGCCTAAATTGGAACAATTACAAAACAAGACTGTGAAGGAATTTTTACATGTGAATGCATACTCATTCATGTCTGATATTCTAGGAATCATAGAAAACAAAAGAGTAACATAATAAGTGACTTGCCATGGACAAAAGGAGCCCCAATACTCAGAGTGTACTAAAGCATGAAGAAAACTTCAAGGGGGGAGGAGCAAGATGGCGGAGGAGTAGGAGACCTAAATTTCATCTGGTCCCAGGAATTCAGCTAGATAGGGATCAAACCATTCTGAACACCTATGAACTCAACAGGAGATCGAAGAAAAGAATAGCAACAACTCTCTGAACAGAAAAGCAACCACTTTCTGGAAGGTAGGATGCATGCGGAGAAGTGAATCTGAGGCGATATTCGGGAAGACAGACGGCAGGGGAGGGAGCCTCCTTCAGCCACTACCGGCAAGTGATAGAGCAGCGGAGCAAAAAATAGTAACTTTTAGAAGTTGGCTCCACTGAGGGACGTTGCTCCAGTGGCTAAGCAGGGGGGGTGGAACCCTCGTGAGACAGTGTGGTCTCAGGACCCTCAGGGTCACAGGAAGACCGGGGGTGCCTGAGTGCAGCAGAGCTCCCAGGTATTGGGGCGGGGAAGCCGGCTGCAGAGATGGAGCTGAGGCACGGGCTCTCAGCTCGGGGTTGCCATAAACCGTGATCCGTGGCACAGTCAGGTCACTGCTCCTCCAGCAGAGACCCAACAAGTGGCAGATCTGGGGAGACTCCCCTTCCTCCCGCGGGAGGAGCGGCGTGGGAGCGCACCACAGGGATCTGCTGAGTTTGGAGACTCCACACCGAGTTGGGTGCCAGAGATAGAAACACTCAGTCACAGGCCAGGTGAGCAGGGAGTGCGGTCGGAGACCGGGGAGATGGGAGTGATTGACTGCTTTTCTCTGGGGCTCACTGAGGAGTAGGGCCCCAAGTTCTCGGCTCCTCCAGGGTGGAGAATGGGAGGCTGCCATTTTCTTTCCCGTCCTCCAAAGCTGTACAGAAAGCTTGCAGGGAACAAAAGCTCCCAAGAGCAAACCCAAGCAGATTACTTAGCCCGGACCTGCAAGGGCGGGACAATTCCGCCTCCAGCAAAGACATTTGGGAACCACGGCAACAGGCCCCTCCCCCAGAAGATCAGCGAGAACAGCCAGCCAAGATCAAGTTTACTGCAATGAGAACGGCAGAACTCCAGCGCTAAGGGAATACTGCACATAGAATTCATGGCTTTTTTCCCATGATTCTTTAGTCTTTCAAAGTTAATTTTTTTAATTAATTTTCTTTTTTCTTAAATTTTTCTTTTTCCCTTTTTCAA